GTCAGGGTATGTTTTCTCCCTCTCTCTCTGGGTAAGCATTTTGTAGAAGAGCCCATATTTTAATACATTGTTCAGCTTGTTTTCCAAAATCCTCTGTCGTCATGCTTTTGTGCACCTCTCAGCTCAAAATAGTTCGAAGCACAACTGACTGGGAGTGTTGAGGTGCTTCTTCTTCCAAGCTAAGAGTTACCAGTGTAGTGAGTTGAGCTTTGTTAGAGTAGAAGTTATGGTGTAAAAGTGGTGCCTTGAAGAGAATTGAGGATATGAGTGAAGTCATACATGTTTTTGTTTAAATAAGTGTGCAAATTTACAGTTGATTCTTCCTTCCCACCCCTTTTCCGTCATCACTTCTCACCGTCCCTCCTCTCTACTATGGAAATGAACTCAGTGCTATGGATATAAGGGTGAAGATGAGGTTTGCAGCAAGTTTCCAGAGCTCCTTGCAAGACGGCCTCCTGGCTGCCTGCCAACACTTTGCAAGTCCTCTCTAGCCAACCAGAATTCCTGTCGACAACCACCTGACCCTGAATTCCCAGACAAAGAAATGTTCATGCTTTCTATTTTTTTTCCTTGCTCTTTTTTTTGAGTGGTCTCCTCTAACCCGAGAGTGGGGGCAAGGGAAAAAAAAAGCCTGAGAGACACACGTTGGATTTAAAGTGCTGAGCGCAGGCGTGCATGGGTAGGTCGGCTGGGTTGTTTGTTGTTGATAGCGCCGGGTGCGTGTGTGTATGTGTGCCTGTGTGTGTGCCTGTGTGTGTGCCTGTGTGTGTGTGTGTGTGTGTGCCTGTGTGTGTGTGTGTGTGTGTGTGCGTGTGTGTGCGTGTGTGTGGAGGGGCAGCGTGCAGGTTTGAGTAGACTTTGCTGGGGGAGGAATTATGCTGACTTCAGGTATTTCCAGGAGACTTGTTATGGACCATCTGCTCTTGGTGGCTTAAAGGAAACCCGTCTCTTTCAGTTCGGAGAGGAGGGAGCTCAGGCATTCGCTGGAGTCCGCAGGAAAAAAAAGTAGATTTGTTTGACTGTATGTAATCGCAGGGGATCGCCGCATGCTCAAAGTATTTCCTGTTTCAGTGTCTCTGCTGCAGTTTCTTTCAAAGTGTCTGCTGCCATTTTGCATAAAACTGCTCAGAAGTTTAGATGTTACATGCTGGTTGATTATGCATTCTTTTTCCTGTGTCTGTTTATAGCAACAAGCTACAAAGTAGTGATATATTTTCTGTTGAATGTCAGAGTTTTGGAGGAAAATATGTCTTTTAGTGCAGTTGTTGTTGATTTAAGCAACGCTGATAAGCTTATCTCTTGCTCTGAATTCCGGGAAGAAATGGTATAAGCATGTAAATATTATCCTTCACCCTGGCTTGTGTTGAAACGGAAATGTGGTGCCTGTCTTTTTAAGAATATGCAAATGGCGAGAACGAACCCAGTGAACCTGCATGGCGTATGCGCACTGCCAGAGCTGTGGGTCAAGGCTAGCAGCACAAACACGGCCAGGCTTTTAGTCCTGCCTGGCTCTTTTAAGCCTAATATTTTGCCAATTAATAAACAGTTATTACTGAAATAACAGAATTTGAAGACAAAAAAAAAAAAAAGATTTTTGTCAGTGCTATGAGAAAGGAAAATAAGAGCATGTGTTTGAAAGAGCTTGGTTTGGTTTCTTTTTGCATGGTTGACCTCTGTAAGGCTCCTAATTGCTGGAGCTCTTTAAAGCACTTTCCACAATGGAGGCCAGATGCATCCTCTGTCCTGTGCTCTCCAGAGGCCAAGAAGTGAGGGCGCATTGTTCAGCCCCTCACAGAGGTCACGTCAAAATAAATGCGATTGTCACATGACGATGATGATGGCAATTCATACTCCACAGGAATGTCACATTTCAATTTCACGCTGCCAGAGGAAGCATTGAACAGTTCTCTCATGGGCATCTTCTTTGTATTGTACGAAGCTTTTACACAGACGACCTGTTTGGTGTGTGTAGTCATTGATGTTTACTCACTAATTTTGTGATTTTGCAAATGCACTACGAACAAAAATGGCAGCTGTAATTCAGGCTTCTATTAATGTGCTCATTGTAATACGTTATCGTTCCTGTAGTAACAACTCATTCACAGGGGCTCGTATGGTGTTGGATCTACATAATCTAAGGCTAATAATAAGCAGATTAAGTTTATTGAAGGTGTTTATTTAACAAAGGAACATGTCTAATCGTTAATATGATGACGTTTTCTGTAAGGAGAAATTTATTTAAAAAATAAGGAATCGCCAGTGTCAGCGCTTTGTATCCGTTCATAAGTTTTCAGCCAGAGGAAAGTCGATAGAGGACTTTGTGCTTTCTGGTTTCTCAGTAACATGACAAGCTGCGTTTCTTTTCAGCTTCTTAATCTCAAGGCTGGTAAGGGAAGGACTGTTTATGGCTGCTGTTAATGTAAATGATATCGAGAACTAACTCGTTTTGCAGATGCGCAGCAGCGTTAAGTGTAACTCTAAACGGTTAAGGGTACAACACGTTCAGTAATAAATTTAAATTGTTGACAATATGGTGCAGTATAAGACAAATAAAACACTATGGGACATTCTGTTAAAGAAAAAGAACCAACTGAACAGTAACTCTGCTTTGCGTTGGGCTGCGTCACACCACTCAGGCGTTGATTATTATCCTATAACAGCATCCCACATCATGTTTTATTATCATGTTTTATTCCTTACTTTTGAGATTGCAATAAAGCAAATGCAAGATTATTAAGCCGATTTCTAGACATTTTTACTCACTTTTTTTTTTACACACGAGATAACGCTTATTTCTAGAAAGAAAGGAAATTATCTGCGAATAGAATGAGCCAATTAAATTTATTGAACTTTGTGTGGCTTGTTTTAAGTCATGATTATAGAGAAATCAGGTGCTTGAACTATCGCAACATAATATGCGTAGTATGTAATCGGTAATTAGGTTGTGTGATTGGATATTCAAGAATAGAGCCAGATATGACCTTTTTCTAGAAAAGATCACAAGTGAAAGTGATCACTTGTGATCAAGAGTGCCTCGTATCTCATTTTAGTGATGCTGACTGTGTGCAGAAATGTTTGCTCATTTTGTTTTCATTGCCAAAACCATTTAAGACATCAGCCATAAATAACCATTCGCCTCATGTTATATGTTATATGATTATCTACTGTCTATAGTAGAAATCAATTGTGGCCTCCACTGTGACCTCGTGCCTGAAGAGAGCAGAACCTCAGAGTGTAGGTCACTTCACTTCCTTCCTTAATCTATTTGTCATTATTAAAATCTATTCGACACTGCACTCATATTACTTTGGAGACACCATGAAATGATAGAGATAGCATTCATTCAGGGTGTGTGTTCGTATGTGGGTGTGTGTGTGGTATTGCCTCGGGGATGTTCTTTTCATCCAGAGAGCAGGCTGGGCTCCATTATCAGAACTGATTGCCCCTGTTGCCTTCTAGGGCCTTTAATCACTGGTGTTGGCCCGTGAGCACAAAGAGACAAGACACTGCGTTATGATTTGAAAAAGTCTCCACCATGTGTTTGAGTGTAGTACGGAAAAAAGTCTCGTCTTTCCCTTTTTCATCAGACAGCAGCCTGTCTGTGCTTTGTCCTGTTACTAATTTGTCCTGTAAATTAAAGCTAATTTGGATTGACCAGTGCTTTTTTTTGTGCTTAGACTTTATTTTTGTTTATTTCGTTTGTGAGGTCGTCGGTAGTGCTTACTAGCTGACCCAGCAATACAGATGATTCCTTCGGTTGCTTTCTGCCTCGCACACGACCTGTGGCACAGATGCCTTGGTCTTGCCAAAGCTGTCAGTGTGTGTGTGTGTATATGTGTGTGTATGACTGATAAAGACTGTACTGTACTGTACTTCCATAACCCTCCACCCTCAATGCCTCCCCTCCTCTTCTCATGTGATTCGGAGAGTCAGACTCTTCCCGCAGTGAGGCCCCTGAGAAGGGGGCATTTACAACTGGGAAAACGTCCAGAAACAAACCCCAACTTCTTATAGCCACCTCAGTCTTCTTTACTTCCCAGTGCTGTGAGCAGGGGGTGTTGGGGGAGTTAGTTTTCAATTGATTTTCTAGATAAATAACCCCTTCCTTTCCCCCCGCTGGAGAAAGTGGGCAAGATAAGATTCTTCTCCCTTCTTTGCAGAATTCCCCCATGCCTTTATTCTTAGGGCAGCAGGCAACAAAATGGTGTTGTTTTCCCAATGTAAGACTTTCTATGCCAAGTGCAACTTCACTCAGTCTGCGTTATTTCCTCCTTATAGGTGTGGTTTATTGTATCAAATATAAATTCTCTACATTCTAAACAGTAATGAACAATCTAGGAGGTTCAATCAGTACAGGGAGCCCTGGCAAATATTTGGCTTAGATAAAGGCTTAGACTGCAGATTCTTTTTAATACATACACATGTGTCTACCTGACTTGAATCACCTGGAATTTTTAGGGACACAATACCAACATACATGTGCACGTACAGACAAAGCCACTCACAAAGACCTACAGTCTCTGTTGAGGGCCTGCCAAACATTTTAGAGCATATGGCCTAGTGCTTTGAAGCAGCCAGGGAAGCTATACAGATATTTATAAACTAAAGTGGAGGCCACATGTTTCTACTCCACATCATCACCCCCTCTTCTTCTTCTTCTTCTTCTTCTTCTGTCTCTCTTTTTCTCTCTCTCTCTCTCTGACACCCACATACACAGTGAAGTTAAGACCTTGGAGTAGTTTTGACGTTAAAATTAAATTGTCTTTCTAAACAAATAGTTTTTATGTAGAATTTACCAGAAGCAGCCAACAAGTGCTTGGCCTGCCAACTTTTAAAAAAGCCCCCTTGGTGAAGCTCCTGCATGGAGCCAGTTAAGAAGATGCCAAGAGTGCAAAGCTTCATCAGGAAAACTGATTAAAATATAAAATAGGTTCGTTTTTTTTTAAACATAGTTTTTGGTCACTGTTTTATTCCACATGTGTTATTCTTGTTTGTCTTGGCTCAGTGGTTAAGGCATTGGACTACTGATCAGAAGGTCATGAGCTCAAATCCCAGCCCCACTAAGCTGCCATTGCTGGGCCCTTGAGCAAGGCCCTTAACCCTCAGCTGCTCTGTAGTATAAATGAGATAACTGTAAGTCACTCTGGATAAGGATGTCTGCTAAATGCTGTAAATGTTACTGTTATTCTAAAATAGTAAAAATGAAGAAAATCCAGGTGCAGTTGTGTCCAAACATTTGACTGGGAGTGTATAAACTCAGTGCTCCTGGATTCACTCCCCCTTGTGGATCTGTGTGATTGTACAGTCAACCCCAAAACCCCCCTAAAAACCATTAGCAATTAGTGTCTAGAAATTCCTATAGGGAAAATGTCTATTTATATTGCACTTTTTTAAGTTCACTTGAGTGTTTTGACTAGACACTCAAGAGCATTCATCTGTGACTTCCTATTTCTCTGGGGTGTAAGTATGATGTAATACATCATTCATCAACATGGAGAAGATTTCACAAATGAAATGAGACAAAAGTGTGTTAACCTTCATATATCAGGCAATGGCTTTAAAAAATACAGTAGCTACATGCCTTAAAAAAGCCCATATCCGCTGTTGGGCAGTAATTAAGAAGTTTAAAACAACCGGAGCTGTAATGAACCTGCCTGGAAAAGGATGCAAGAGTATTTTTCCCCATGCACAATTAGTAGGAGTTTAGAGAAGCAAAAATTTCTCCAAGCATCACAGTTGGAGATTTACAGAAGCATTTTGGGGTCACTAAGTCTCCAAATCTACAATTATGCACCACCTCCATGCTAACAAACAATTTGGAAGGCGTGCCAGAAGAAAGCCTTTTCATTCTAACCACAAATGTAAGCACCTGGAGTTTACTAGACACTACTGGAACTTTTACTGGAACTGGGTTCTGTGGTCAGAAGAGACAAAAATAGAGCATCTTGGCAACAAATACTCAAGGTGGGTTTGGCGAAAAATGAACGATGATCTCCTTTGTAAAGTATGGTGAAGGATTTGTGATGAATTTGGGGCTGTTTATCTGTTTGTCCTCCAAAGAATCTGGGAATCTTTTTAGGATACAGGACATCATGAAGTAGCAGGAGATTTTTAATGAAAATCTGGCTGCCTCTGCCAAGAAACTACAACTGGGTCTTGTTTGGGTCTTCCAACAGGACAATGATTCAAAACATACATTCAAATCCACACAAAATGATTATAGAATCAAGTTTGGTACATGGCCATCCCAGTCCTCTGACCCCTGTAGGGTCTGGAGAGGAGTGATCTCAGCTTCCTGTTCTGTATTCTCCAGTCTCATCAAGCTTTATAGGAGAAGACTCAGTGCTGTTATTTTGGCAAAGGCAGGTCATACAGTACTAAATACAGGGATAACAGTGATTCTGGTTTTGTTGGAAAATATATTTTTGATAAGGGTTGTTTTATTTTCTTGGAATACATTTATTTCAGTTAGAGGTTAGTATTCATATATTTTCAGTGTGACACTAAACTGATGAACCACCAACAGTTACATAACTTTTTACCCATCTTTACCAAGGGTGCCAATAATTCTGGAGCTTACTATATATAGTGGGTGAAAAAAGAGGAAGAGAAACAAAAGAGTTTCTTTTCCTTTTTCTTCCTCCTTTCAAACTTGCCTTGGCCAATTTACATCTGTGGTGATTGAAACCTGAGATGGTGTTGGTTGCTGGCAGCAGAAAAGCATACAGCTATAAAAAAGATTCACGTGAGTGACTAAAAAATAGAGAAAGAGAGAGCGAGAAACAGAGAAACACAGAGAGAGAGGTTGCAGAATGTGCGCAGCTGTTGGGGATTTTCTGTGAGCAGCTTAAGTCACGGCTTGGCTCACGTCCTCTGTTGTTGACCTAATGAGTCCGGTTCGACAAACTCAGTGAACTCTACACCATGCTGTTTTCCGTGCACCTCAACCACAACAGAAACGTCATGGCTTCAAAGGGGCCGCAAATGGCTTTCTGTTTAGGGGATTGGAGGGGGGATTGTTTCCATATTTTTTTTTTTTTTTTGACCTTCTTCAGTCTTAAAAGGGAGTTGCTCACTCTTAATCAAGAGGACTGGAAATATTTGCTTCGGCATCTGGGATTACTGTAGTGTAAACAGACCTAGTGATTATAGTCATGGAGCCGCGTCATTCTCAGGAGGGGCTGTCAAAGCAAGTCTTTGAGTCCTCTGCTGAATGCGTTTCACCTCTCTCTCTTCTCTGTTCCTGTCCCACGTCCTGCAGGCAGAGAAGAAGGCCAAACTGGTTTCCATAATGAACTCGATGGAGGAGCATGGAGAAGTGGAGACCAAGCCTCAGACGGCCTGTGGCACCATCAACAGCCCACTGACCACTGCACCACCACCACCACCAACACAGCAACAGCACCAACTAACCCAGGCTCTTCCCAAAGCTCAACCACAACCACAAATACAGCCTGCTCCCCAGCAACAGCAACAGCCTCCAGCCCAGCAGCAACAGCAACAGCCTACAGACCCAGCATCCCCTACAGTGGCCACCACGCCAGAGCCAGTGCCTATAGGGGACGGAGATAAGACCTCACCAAAGTCCACTGACACAGAGGCTGAATATGAGGTAGTGGCGCATCTTCAGCAAGTGTACACTTGCCACTGTCATTATAATTGATAAATAATCACAAATGATTGTGGATTAAAGCATCTGAATTTGGAACAGAATTTAATATTCTATTGATCAAAACCTGCCAGCACTTCTGATTGATTAAGCCTCTTGAGATATGACTTTCTGCCATATTTGTTCCTGAGAGCTGCTATTGAATGATATGTATAAAATAGCAGCTTGCTACTGTTGAAAGGCTTAGTAACTAGAACAGAGCAGATAAGCCACAGTTTAATACCGAACTCCCTATGGACTGGATGTTGAGGTCTGTGTGGCATGTACAGGATGGCAGAGGCTTTGGCATTGGCGAGCTGGTGTGGGGGAAACTGCGCGGTTTCTCTTGGTGGCCTGGACGCATCGTCTCCTGGTGGATGACCGGACGAAGCCGAGCTGCCGAGGGAACCAGATGGGTCATGTGGTTTGGTGATGGCAAATTCTCTGTGGTATGTATTTCAACTCATATCAATTACATTCATTCATCTTCAGTAACCACTTTATCCTGGTAAGGATCCAGAGCCTATCCCAGGAAAACTGGGCATGTTTTTCTAAACATCTTATAGGAAAATATTTGAAATATTAAAAATACATTCCAGTGAGTCGTGCATCACTGCCTATTAGTTGAAGTTGTGTTCTAAATATTCCTTGTTTTTTTAGGTCTGTGTTGAGAAATTGTTGCCGTTGAGTTCCTTCTGCAGTGCTTTCCACCAGCCAACTTACAACAAACAGCCAATGTACAAGAAAGCCATCTATGAGGTGCTACAGGTACGGCTTTAAACTCACAAGAGTGCATTCACCTGTGGAATTGTAAATGAACCTGGGTTTAGTGTTATGCACAAATGTAACCGTCACACCCGTCTGCTGAAATTATATTTTCAGGTAGCCAGCAGTAGAGCAGGAAAAGTGTTCCTCACCTGTCCTGAGAGTGACGACACTGACACCTGTAAGTCGGTGGACATGCAGAACAAGCAGATGATTGAATGGGCCATGACAGGATTCCAGCCCACTGGCCCCAAGGGCCTGGAGCCTCCAGAAGGTAAACGCTACTGCCATGCTCTTTTGAAAGGGATTATGGGGAATATGTGGTTAAAAGGCATTCCTGTACAAGTGAAGACACATGCCTGAAGTAGAGTCAAATGCTGGGAATTTGTTGTATATTTGTTTCTCAGCCTTGTACATGTATGTTGTTGATCAAAACAACTTCAAACAATTTTCTTGGAAAGATGTGGTGCTGCGTACCTGATGTGTGTAATGGTTTTTGGGTTTTTGTGAACTCACAAAGGGATCTTCACAACTGATCTAGTGTTTTTTTTTTTTTCTTTTTCCAACTGATCTAGTGTTTTTTTTTCTTTTTCCAACTGATCTAGTGTTTTTTTTTCTCTTTTTACTGGAATTAAGTGCTCTGGGTTTAAAACCATTACTCACTGACAGCCTAATTCACATACTGGCTTTCTGTTGTTCAGAATATGATTCTTCAGTCTGTTTTGATTGATCTGATTTGTTGAATTGCCTTTCAAAGAGGAGCGCAACCCATATAAGGAAGTGTACCCGGAAATGTGGGTGGAGCCTGAAGCCGCAGCCTATGCACCCCCACCTGCCAAAAGGCCTCGTAAAAGCACAGGCGCGGAGAAGCCCAAGGTGAAAGACATCGTCGATGAGAGAACCCGAGGTGAGCCATCACTCTCACTGAGTCACACAGGGCCAAGGAGTTCAGTGGGTTCATACACACACACACACACACACACACACACACACACACACACACACACACACATACACACACACCCAACCTCTCACATGAGCACACGCCTCTAATCAGTATTATCAGCCTCAACTGCTAAGCTCTCCAAGGTAAACATTAGGCTGTAAACATCACACAGGGAATCAGATAGTCTTAATTACCAGTTCTTCTCTGCTTTTTTTCAGAGAGGCTTGTGTACGAAGTGCGGCAGAAGTGCAGGAATATTGAAGGTATTTATTTACGATTGTGTCTGCTGGCTTGTAAAGAGTTTCCAGTGAACTCTAAGGGCTGATTTATACTTCTGCATGCACGTCAGGACGTTTTGCGCAGACGCTCGCACAGGGTGAAGGATTCATACTTGCACATGACAGGAGCATGTCCTCTAGGAGGCGCTGTTTCGTGAACCACACTAAAATTGACTGTATTAGACGTTGACGAAAGGCCAAAGCAGGTGTAATAATAGGAATAGTAGGAATAATAAATAGAAGGTAGCATGGGCATAACTTTGTTTTGAAAAATGCTGAGGAGAAAAAAATAAACCATGCGTGATTATAAACCAAGTGAATTCTCACTGAAATTGTGTTGTGAAGTGTTTTAACTCGTCTGTATTCAGCAGTCTGAACAGCTCTTGTGTTGAAGCACTTCGGGTTAACTAGTGTTTCAGTCCACAGTT